CTGTCGAGACGGACGAAACACTTTCCGTGCTTGTTCCCTGGACCTAGGTCGATGATGCCCCAGGCAGCGGGAGGAAGCAGCATGTACTTACTAGGTATGCTACGGATTGTAGGAGGAGGAGGAGGCTGAGAGGTTGCAACGACATGCTGTCAGCCACGTTGTGTGCTATTTCCCAAGGTTGCAACGGCGGCACTGAGCCATGATGATCGGCACTCGCTATCCGGAGTTGCCTGGTACCTAGCCAGACACCTGCTTGGTATATTTTTATCGGCAAAAGATTCAAAAGGCTGACTGCCAGTGACGGCTGAAGGGGGCATGTTTTGGCGGCTGCGAGTAAGTGAAGGACAAGGTGAAACATGCCCTGACAGAACGTGGAACTCAGCACATGTTAGCCACCGTGTAAAGAACCGTGTACTGCACGCCTTGCCTCTTTTCATCTCAACTTCTCTGCCTGCTGCTCTGCTCCCACATGTTTCCACCCGAGGCATTGTAACAGCAGACAGAACAAAGCGGGCCCCCTTCTTCAGCCGTAACACAAGAGGGTGGTTGAGGCATGTCGCGTGATGAGCAGCACATTGAATCCTTCCTGCTGTACTCTGTATCTGTACTCTGCACGGAAACAGAGAGAATGAGCTGGCCAGCCAAGCAAGCAAGGAGGAACCTTTACAATAAAAACTGGAACTGCAAGTGGGCGAAGGAATCGCAGTGGACACGCAACAGGTGATTATCAATTTGCAGCCACCCGGAACTGGGTCCGCCGCGCCCTGGGGACGTGGACTGGACGTGGACGTGGACGTGAGGTGGAGGCTGCTGCGAGGGTCGCATAGTGCGATGTGCACACAAGTCCCCTACCGGTTCCGGGTAAGGCCAGCCCAGCCCATCCCGCTTCCCGTTTCCTACCTGCCTACGGTAATGCTACAAGCTGTACCTACCATACCTTACCTTAGCATGGCGGAACCTGCCAAGTTTGACCCAGAACAAAACATGCAAATTGTTTTCCCCAGCTTCTTTCTACTCTTTGCTGGGTTGTCCTTACGTCGGCCGCGACTCTCTGTGCGTGGGTAAGAACCTAACTAAGCTGTCTGCCTGGCCTGCCTACCTCGTTATGTATCCGTAGCCCGCCCACCACCCCGTCTGCGTCAACATCTCTGAGACCTCAAGACCTTGGCTTTCCTTACTGCCTGGTTGACTGACTACCTTATGTTGCCTTTTCGTCTCTAGCTTTTGTCCTACACTGCCCTTGTCTACATACCTTACCTATCCATACCTACCTACGACCGCGGTGTGGACTCAGCGGACACGTCCTCCGTCCACCGCCTCCTTTCTGAGATAAACTCTCTCCTCATCCATCTCTCCTCCTCCTCTTCCTCCTCCCCTTGCCCTTTCCAATTGGATGCTGCGCCTCACATCGCTCGGGGCTCCATCCCGTCTCCCAAACATCCAATTGCACAGAAACACCTACTGAGGGAAGAGCACCGGTTGGTCATTAAGGCACACAGTTGCTACCGCCGCTCGTGCCCGGCTACTGTGTTACTTCTTCTACACCTCGCCTTGCCTGGGCTGACCCCGACGCCTGCCCGCCTCGTGGAACCATAACCTTTTTCCGTCGTCTCCTGCCTTGTCTCGTCCTACCTTATGCCACATTCTTCCTGCAGCGCATCTCGGGATTTCGCGCCTCAAACCAAGCAGCAGGGACAGATCGAGGCCTGAGCTTTCCCATATCCTTACTCTCTCGGTGCCACCCGAAAGTGATATGAGCTCCCAGTCCCCGCTTCTAGCTCCCCTTCCACGATCCTTCTGGCGACTTTTAGCATCTTTTACACCTACGTTCCACTGCACGACGGAGCCGTCTTGCATGAACATCCTGAGCTGACGGCCTCGTCGGTTTTCGCTCGCTCTTACTTCTTCTTTTCCTTCTACCCTGTTGTACTTCCCGACTTCCCGAAGTCGGCCTCGCCTACATCTTCCTCGACCTGCACTCGACGACATCGTATATAAACGATCTCTCTGCAACTCTGTATAGTACCAGACAACTGGTGTAACGACCTCGGCATGCTCGCCAACTTCCACCAGCCTCGACGGCTGAAGACGCCCTTCATCGCCATAGTCGTCTTCATCCTAATCACGGGCTTCTTCCTTCTCTTCCATCAGCCACTGGTGTCGTACTTTGTCACACCGTGGACGGCAGAGCGTGAGTTCGCCAACCTCGTTCCGCGGTCGAGGTGCTAATTTGTGTGTAGAATATGGTGGCAGCTGGATGAATGCTTCATCACCAGGCTGGGTGCAACCGGCGCTCAGCGAGGGAGACCCGAATAAAGCAGACGATGCAGGCCGATATGTGAAGGCCATTATGGACCCTAAGAACGGCGGCTACCCGATTGTTGCCTGCCCCGCACCGAACATCACGCGCTACGGCGTCCTGAAGCCGGTCGACAACACGAGCAAGCGTCACTTTTTCTTCGCTCTCGACCTGCGCCAGGTCGTAGATCTGCTTCCACAGCTCATTGGAGCTGTTCTTGAAGCTGTCGACATCATCGGGCCCGAAAACTGCGCAATCTCCATTGTGGAGGGTATCTCGACCGATGGCACTTACGAGACTCTCTACCGCCTGAAGGCGCACCTCGACAAGGTCGGGATTGCGTACTATCTGCAAACGAGCAGCATCGACTCCCATAGCGGGGACCGCATTGGCAAGCTAGCCAAGCTTCGAAACCTAGCCCTCGAGCCCATGATGGCCGAAGCCGATCGTTACGACCCGAAAGCAACCATCGTCTTCCTCAATGACGTGGCCGCCTGCACGGAGGACATCTTGGAACTTGCGTACCAGAAGCAGACTCAAGGAGCCGACATGACGTGCGCCATGGACTACCACTTCCTGCGATTCGCGCCGCACAATGGAGAGCCGTCCTTTTACGATTCCTGGATTTCCCGAGGCATCAACGGCGACACGTTTTTGCCTATTCCGGACAGGACGCCCAAGGGAGAGCAGTGGAGCGACGTGGCCAATATGTTCTGGAACGAGCCTTACTCTCAGGACCGCTACCTCAGCCGCAAGCCTCTGCAGGTCTTCGCCTGCTGGAACGGAGGCGTTGCCATGACTGGCGAACCATTCCTCGCCAAAAAGCTCGACTTCAGAAGGTCGTATCCGGGTGAATGCCACACCGGCGAGCCAACACTTTTGTGCAAAGACCTGTGGAATCTTGGCCACGGCAAGATTGCCGTTGTGCCAAGCGTCAGTCTGGCGTACAATATCCAAGATGGAAGGTTGATCAAGGAGGAACGAGGTTTTGCGAATTCGTGGGTTGCAATCGAGCACATGGGCGAGTCCGTCAACATCCCTTGGCAGGATCAGCCGCCCGAGATGGTCAAGTGCATGCCTACCTTCCGCAACCAGTTTTGGCGGCCTTGGAATGAAGGACTGTGAGCTTGGCGACGACGCTGGCGGTTCTTTTCTGTTTTTGCATAGGGGGATTTTCACTAGAGATGGGAAAGGTAACCTGAAGGGATAACCTAGAATCTCGCACAAGGGCTGTGGGAGAGACGAGCATCATGATACCCGGTTTCTGTAATCTGTTTCATCCGGACAAGCAGGCGCTAATAAAAGAAGAAATGACTTATTTGATAATACGATTGGATGAAGAACCCCCAAACCCAAAGGTGCCTGTCGCTCACACGAATCGGGTGACCTGACGTGTTCGTCCGAACGTCGTGTGTTGATTGTCCAAGGCATAATGGCACGCGAGCCGACAATCAGGCCAATCTCCCGGACTCGGAAGTTGCTGACCGAAACCAAAGATGACGAGGCTTACGCCGAGAAGGAGCGCAAACACACAGACTACCTAGGAGTGTTGGGTGAGATGTGTTGGTTGGCTGGCACGCTGGTTGGCCATTCCATTCCATCCCTGCCGTGATTTCGGGAATGCCAGCCGGTGAGACACCTTAAAATATGGGAATCCAAAAGGGAGGCGAGCTGGGGACGAGAGAGAGAGCGAGACATGACGTCGGCGGAGTGAGCAGTCGGCAAGCCACACGACGCCCCGGTGGAGAGGAGCAGAAGGGGGGCGGGCCCCGGAACGTTGCAACCAACACCGCGCCACGGTGGGCACTCTGGTAGGGCAGAGACAGAGAGATAGATGCGGTGTGGTTCGGTTCGGCTCGGGTTTTGGCGCAAGGCAGACAGACGAGTCCAGTGTTCTGGATCCGGGGAGGGTTGGGTTTTCGGCCCCGCTTGTTCCGTGACCCCGCCCCGCGACCTACCTTTCGGGCGCCGGGGGACGGCTTTCGTAACTTCCACCGGGCCCAGCCAACGCCGAGGCCGCCGATGGGAATCGGTCCGGGAGATTTGACAGGCAGATATGAATCGGTGCGGGAGGGCGGGTTGCGGCGTTCCAATCGTCGGGCGTGAGGCTCGCTTTGCTTTGGCGCGACCATGTACAGAGGTGTCACTAATGAGTCAAAAGAGAATGATTGCGTGCAATGTCGTGATGTTATTTGTTTTCCAGACGGAATTAAGGTTTATGATACTGGTTGTGGACGAGCTGGGAGTATACAGTTCCGCAGTCTCGATCCAAGGGGGGAATCGTAGTAGGTAGGTACGGCAAAAATGCAAAAACGTACAAAAGTTACAGTGGATATAAAGTCGCTGATCCAGGTGAGGTCTCCAAGCCCGTCTCTTTACATCATCGTCTCTTTTTCCAAAATCTTCTCTCGTGTGTTCCAAAAAAACAATCGCAATCAAAATGGTTCATCAAGCCGCTCCGGACATCTCTTCAGTGGGGAATCGTGAAAATAGGCGACTGTATAACATCAACATTCCAACAGAGCACGGTGGTAATCCCGTTGCCTCCCAACGCCGCCGCTCGCTGCTTTTTTGTGGTATCATTATACTCGTGACTTCATGGCGTACGCCTGGTCAGGCATCATCAGCAACCCCCTGGCGATAAACTTCAGGGATGGCGATGGCCTGACCGGGGGCTTCCAGTTGGGTCAGTTGTGGATTATTACAGCAGGGCAGCAACGAAGGCGGCACCCAGGAGGACGGCCATGCCAGCGGGGGCGTTGCTAGCGCCGGCGTTCTGGTCAGGCGCCGCACCGGTGGAGGCGGATGGGGTCGCGCTGACCCTTGTGCTCACACCGCGAGTTGTGGAGGCCAGGGTGGAGTTGGCGGCGGTGAAGGCAGAGGTGAAGCCAACGCTGGGGGCGACGCTCGTTGTGAGAGCGACGACCTCGGTGGTGCTGGGGGCGGCGGATGATGAGGGAGAAGAGGTCGTCGACGGGGCGGTCGCGACGACAACGGAGGAAGAGGTGGTGGGTGCAGGCTTGGAGGTCGTGGTCGGGGTCGGGGCCACAGAGCTGGTCGTGGGGGCCTGGGAGGTCGAGGTGGTGGTGGGGACGGGGACATCAGAGGTGAGGGCGCCAGTGACGCCGTGCTTGGCAGCGCAGTCACCGAGGTTCATGCCGTTGGCGCAGCAGAAGGTTTCGGCGCCGGTGTCGTGCGTGCAGTAGAAGGAGGACAGGCAAGAGTCTGGGTTTTTCGTGTTAGTGACGATGCGCAAAACGTGACGGTGCGACGGTAGACTCACTTCCGCTATTGGTAGAGCAGCAGGTCTCGCCAGCGGCGGGGTTGTAGCAGTGGACGGCAGAGTCGGTGGACTTGCACTGCTCATATCCGGTACCGCAAGCCTCGGCGCAAGTGTTTCCACCCTTGGAGCAGACCTCATCGGCGGGCTGGTAGGCGCTGTCGGCACGGCGCATGATGCCGAAATCTCTTGAGAGGGGGGTGATGACGCTGCGCTTGAAGACCTTGTCTTGGGCGAAGGCCTGGGCAGTGAAGGCCACGAGGGCCACGGAGGCGAGCGAACGGAAATGCATTGCGGCGGAATGTGCAAAGTTGACGGTAGATGACGATCGGATCGAATGTCGGTTTTTGTTCGGACACGTTCAGGGTTAGAGAGGCACCCGAATATTGTAAAATAACGACTGTAAGTCTTGTTGGCGGAGCGCAAGTCGGTATGAATGAGCGATATCGACAGGCGGACGACGATGACGACGACGACGACGAGAGTATCGACGGAGCGAGAGAGGAAGGCGAGTACTCTGGCGTGAGGTGATCGTGAAGGAGGGTCAAAGAGTGACTGGAGGGGCGTAGACCACCTAAAAAGCACGCGACGGGTGTGGTTGCGAAGGGGAATGCGGGAGAAAGTGCAGTGCAAAGCGAACGAGGGACGGCGCAAAAAGAATGGAGATGAAGTGGAGAGAGGAAAGTGGGAAGAGTGAGAGGACGAGTCGCGAGAACTGGGGCAGGAGGAGCAATGCTGGTCGCAAACCGGGGGGGGAGGCAGAGGGAAAAAGACGAGGGTTAGACGAGGGCAGCACGGTTCAATGGGCGACGAGGATGTCTTGTGCGGGCTGGGCGAGATATGGCGTACCGATTCGGAAGGATCCTCCTTTTAATTTTATTTGCCTGGACAGCGACCAGTTGGAGGAGCTTGGCCGACAGGGCCCGCCACGATGACCCCGGCTTGAGGCCGTCTGCGTCAGAGCCTCTGAATGGTCCGCACCGGATGGGTGGATAGACCGCCCAGGGTTGTTAATGGCCCGGAGGGGAGCGGTGCGAGGCTTCGTCGACTCCTGATGAGGGTTCTCATGTTTGGAGAGGGTGGCACTGTGTCTCAAGTGAAGGAGAGCCGAGAGACGAGAGACTTGAGAGAGAGACCAACAAAAAGGAAAGGGATGGACAGACACGCGACGGGAGCCGTTATGCATGTTTTCTTAGCGGGCGACGGCAGGTGCAGATACGGCATGCGGCCTCCCTTTAGCTCAGGAACGCGCTGACCGTAAGTTGCGTGTTGCTGTATTCGTACGTGTAAAAGACTCAAAAAGACCCTCATCATCACCCACCCAACTGCCCCAGCAAAGAGACTGACCTACGGCCTGCAGCGACCCATCAGCTCGTCTCTCCACTGCGCGACCAGGCCACCTTGCACCTGCCGCCAACAGCAGTCGCTACCAGAATCCTTGGGCAAACGTGACCGCCCCCAAAGCAGGGAGGCTTGTTGACAGTTGGTGACCTATTCCACAGTTGGGGGGAGGACAAGCACCGAAGAGGAAAGACAAACGGCGGAAATCTGCACCTTTGAAATGAGACAGCCCGGCGCCAGCCAATGCCTCATCTCTCCTGAGTCCCGAGTCCCTGACCTTTTTGGCCGTGCGACACCACTTGCCCAGGTTCGCCCAATTGTGCTCGGCAGCCGCGATCTGGCTGGGCGAATTCTCTAAAAGCGGGTCTCTGATCAGCCCAGACAGGCTAGCCCCCAAAGAGCAGAAAAAAGTCGGGGCCGCCAACGGGTACCTTGCAGCGCCAACCCAACCCAACCCAGACGTGCATCATCCGCCAATCGCTTGGTGTTCAGAGAGAGGCCCCATCCATCGCGGCCATCTGACGAACCATCGAACGCCGTTTCAGGTGGGTTCCTCGTCTCTGATTCGCTCGGCCGCTTTCCATTCTTTCCTCGCCTCAGTCCCCACGACTTCGCGATGCACCCCAGACCACTCACTGCAACTCACACTCAGTCCCTCGAGGGGCTATATTCGGCACCCCCCAGTCGCTTCTTCGGCACCTAGTTAAACCCCTTTTAGCAGTTTATAGACGTTATAGCTATAGAGGGTGCCTACTACTTTATAGCTACCTAAACTATCCTTATACTAGATATTTTATATAATAGCTATATAGATTAAAATAAGCTATTTAGAATATATAAATATATTATTTATTAATAACTTAACTTATTATATATCCCTCTAATATTAAAATATTAATATCCTTACTAAATTTATCTATTTTTTTATTATTACTATATTCTTAATATGAAATTAACTAATCTTACCTTTAATAAGCTTATTAAAAAGGTTTATTAATATTAGAAGCCCCTTAAGTATAGTATAATTAGAGGTAAATTATAATTAATAGTATATAGTATTAAATACTAATAAGATCTAAACTATAAATATAAAAACTATTTTAAGAAATCTATAGTAACTTCTAAAAACTTAATAATTAGTAAAATAAGTTATTAATAGTTTATATAATTATTATAAACTTTAAAAGAATAAGCTACTTCTATAGTTAATAATTAATATAACTACCTACTTATTACTAATAAGTTAAAGCTATATAATTAAGTATTTTAAGTAATAGTATATAAAGTAGTAAGTAGTAAAGAAGTAATATAGGTATATATTAAGAACCTCTTAAAGTTAGGTAAATTAATAGCATGTAATATTACTATATAAATAAATAAAGAGGTAGGTATTAATTATATCTATATAATTAATATATATAATATTTAGTATTAACTATATTATAAAAAGTATAGCCCTCTTTTAACTATTTAGATATTTATATATAAACTAAAATAAAGTATAAATATTAGATATCTAAGTTTTTATTATAACGCTAGCTTAAATAAGATTAATATAATCTTTTAGATATACTCTTAATACTTTAAGTAATAGTAGTAAAATCTAAAATTACTATTAATAGATACTATATATAAAGTTAATTATAAAATTAAAAAAAAATAAGTAAAACTAATTAGTAATTATCAGTAACACCAGCCTATCGCAGCGTTAATTAAGCTGGGCGCGCCTTATGTAATCAGCAATTATATAAGGCACCAGCCTCTACAATTAACACTACAATTATAGCCGCTACGTCTAACGCAGTTAACCTTATATATATCACTACTAACGTAGTTAATATAATACAATATTTGCTACCTATAATACCTTACTAATTAGCTAATCCTATAAAACTAATACTAATTAGTAGTTAACTTTATAGTTACTACTATATAATATATTAATTAACTATAGATTAGCAAAGCTCTAGAAGAAGTAATCTTATTAATATTTATTTAGATCTATTCTACTTAGAAACGCTTAATTAATTAACCTATACTAATAAAGTAGTTATAACTTTAAGAAAAGATAGCTTATATTACTTAAGCTACTTTAAACTTATTTTCCTCTAGTTTCTAAGAAAAGTATATTAACGCTAATATTACTAATACTAATAAGATTAAGTAATATCTCCTTATAGTATTAATAATAGTAAGATTATAATAATAACTCTTATAGCCTCTAATCTTATACTTAATAGAAGTAGTTATAATATAACTTAAAGGATAATCTATTTTACTTAGAACGCTCTTAGTAATTACTCCTCTTTCTTACTTAAAGAGTATCTATTATACGCTTAACCCTTAATATTAACTTCAGCTTATTAACTTATAATTAATAGTAAAGTTAACTACTTACTTTACTCTTAACTACTTTACTTAACCTCTTATTTTCTTATAAATAGAGTTTTTATATTATATAAGTAAATAAGAGATTACTTTATTTTTAATAGCCTTTAACTACTTTCTTTTTATTAAGTTAATATTAATAGTAAATAGCTACTTTAAACCTATTTAATAATAACTACCCTTATATGTAGTATATAGTATACCTTACTATAAGTTTTTCCTATTATTTAACTACTAAATACTAACTACTAACTATTAGCTATAAAAGAATTTTTCACTATCTTTTACTCTTACTAACCTATACTCCTTTTATAACGCTATTATATAGTTCTTCTATTTCTCTTATAACGTTATTTATCCTTAAGATTCTACTACTTTATTAATAATATTACTTATTAAGCTTACTTACCCTCTTATTAATACTTACTTTTAGCACCCTTCTTTATATAAGTAACTAACCCTTATTCTATTATAAAGATCCTTTCTAATTTTTATACCTCTATTTTTAACTACTATTAAGCTATATTAAGTTAAGTAAAAGTAATAAAATAGTAAATTATCTACTAAATAAATAAACCTTAGTTATTATAATACTTAGTAAGTTCTTTATAACTATAATATAATAATCCTTACTTATAATTTAACTTAATACCTCACTCTATTAGAAATATTAATACTTACCTCTTTATATCTTTAATAAGCTATATAACTTCTTAAATAACTATTATTAATTTATTATAACCTTATTAGTATTACTTTTTAGTATATTTATAGTTACTAAAAGCCTTTCTAACTATATCTAATTTAGCTACTTTAGCTTCTCTAAGTAACCCTCTAAGTAACCTTCTAGCTCTATTAATACTTTTAATACCTCTAGCTAGTAACTACTTTATCCCTATCTCTATTAGAGTTTATAGTATAATTAACTAAAGTTTTTAAGGAAAACTTAATAATATTAATATAAAATTAAATATTACTACTTATAGATAAGTTATTTTATATTTCTTATTTAATATAAAATACTACTAACTTAATAGCTTTATTAGTTCTACCCTCTAAGGTTAAGCTTCTACTAACTTTAAAGATATACTAAAGTCTACTTTTAATAACTATAATATAGCTACTATAAAGGAATTTAGAGATTTCTTTATTACTAATAAGGTCTATATTATCTAAAATAGCACCTCTATTACCTCTAATATCTATATTACTCTTTATAAAAACTTCTACTAATAAACTAATAATAATATTAATAATAAGATAACTAAGTTTCCCTCTCTTAAAAAAGCTATTAAAGATATTAACTTCTTTAATAATATTAAAGGTATTAAGCTAAAACTACTAATTTCTTCTAACTACACCTCCTTATATATAGCTCTATCTTTTAGACTAATTTAATATAAATTAAGTACTTCTAAAGTTTACTAATTAATTACTTTTATCCCTCTAAGAAGTCCTAATATTAACTTTAGTAAAAGTAATATACTTAATATTACTATATTTAATTAGCTATCTCCTTAATAATTTATAGATCTTATAAAGTTATATAATAATAGTATATAA